TATATCCTATCATTGTTTGATCATTATATATAGTGATCATACATGTAGGTTTTGTTAACGTTTTCTAATCCCCTTTAACCTATAACTATCAATCGGATACAAGTTTTAATGGTCAGTCCTATTAATAATTACGAGGACTCAAATTTAGAAGACTATGTAAACTTAGATTCTCTTTTATTCTTTTATTATCAAGTCATCCAGTGGTGGTCAGGTAACGCTTATTTCTCATATTAAGTTTTGTGATTATGTTATTTTATAAACAAGACACTTTAATTCAGAAAAAAAAAAAAAAAAAGCCTAACAATATCCACCACTAATCTATTAAGTAATTTTTGGGTCTTACACTAACAATATCCACCACTAATCTATTAAGTAAACAAAGTTGCAAAACTGATATAATGAACGATTAAAATTCCGGGGAAAAATATAGGGAAAAAAATATGTGCTATCTTTTGCCTTAAGCTTCATGTATTTTCTCACACGCTTCCAGCCTAGCTATCAGGATGTAAACACACTTGGAAAATTGAAACACTTCTTCCATAATAATAATAATAATAATAATAATAATAATATTTATTATTATTGGGTGTGTTTGTTTTAGTATTTTGGATATTTTTAGAGTTAGGTGGGAATAACGAGGTAGGATTTAAAAATTAACAAAACACCCCCTAGATTTGTTAATTTACAAACACCGCTGTAACAAAAACATTAAAAATTACAAAAACACCCCTCACCCATCCACTCATTAAATATCGACAGCCGACTACCACTGCCGGAGGGTGACTGGAGTCGCCTTATCGGCGCACGACCAATTGGATCTGGCTGGTCGTGCGTCGAGATGGCCTTTTCTAACCAGATCTACTGTAAATCTGGTTGGAAAATACCAGATCTAGCCATGCTTGGTCGTCAACGATGGCTAAAGATATGACCGTCTTTTTCAACTAGATCCATGGTGGATCTGGCCTAAAAATGATAGGTCGGCGCCATTATACCAAATTCTAGCCACCTTCCAACGGTGGTGGTCGGAATCTGGAAAATATGGATAGGTGGGGGTGTTTTTGTTAATTTTTAAACTTTTTTTTTTTTGTGTTTAGTTAAATTAATAAACTTAGGGGGAGTAAAAGAATTGAATAAAAATATAATAGTATTTTCTTAATAATGAAACAAAAAGTTATTTTGAGGATGAGATTGAAAATATGATAGAAAATAGTAAACCAAACACACTCAATTATTATTATTAGAATAATACTACACCAACAATCCTCTCTTACAAACTTTCTCTTATAACCCTGACATGACAGCTCGCAATTGGTTAGTTCACGTAGGACCTCACATAAGTCTTTCGTTAATATATGTATTGACTTCATATTCTAATAACATTTTTTAATAATAATTTTGACTACTTGTACGCGTCTTCGGCTTAAAAAAATAATTTGATAGAAATATAAAACTAATTATTCCCATTTCTTCTTAAGTTTCTACTACCTATTACTCTAAAGTTCGCTCTGCCCATTAAATGATAAACAGAATAAGATAAAAATAAATAAATAAACAAAACGTGTTGTGAATTAGAACACAGATTATGGAATAATCATCCATAACTAAATTACATATACGGTACACTATACCAAATTAGAAGCTAGCACATGAAAAAATTATACTGACAAATGCATTTGGTACTTGTAAATGGATCGATCACACGACATAAATTTAGGAAAGGAATATGCATCCAATTTTCCCAGCTGTTATCAGACAATATAACACAATAGAAAGAGCATCTAGACAGAGATTATATATATATAGAAGAAGAAGAAGAAGAAGAAGAAGAAGAATCAATCATTGATTTTCACTGACTTTAGTTACCTCATCGGTCGTGTCCTTCTCATTGATACTGATCGTTGATTGATTTTCAGTGACTGTAGTTACCTCATCGGCCACGTCCTTCCCACTGATATTGATCATGGATTGATTTCCAGTGACTGTAGTTACCTCATCGGCTACGTCCTTCTCACTGATATTGATCATCGACTGTCCCTCCTCTATGTCGTGCGAAAATCTCTTGCAACGTAAAACCATTTTCACTGCATGAAGAAGCAAAAGGACAAAACAAATATCATCATATACAAGAAAAAGCAAGCGAGAGCGAGATCTTAGAGAGCTCTATATACATTATGCAATAAGATGCAGATAAAGACATTAATTAGTTTTTAGCTAGCTTCGTTGTAGTATATATATATAAATGTCGCAGCTGGGTGGTTTCCGCAATTTCGATCGCTTTTTATTATGCAAGTTTTCTGACTTTCGTTGTCAGAGACTTGCATGGAAGAGTCAAAAAACAAAATAAAAAAGACTCGACAACTTCTGGGAGAATGCTTAATGTGTGAAATTTGGGTCATTTTTTATTTTTTTTATGGAACGTGTAATTTCTTCAGAAGAAGCGTATATTGATTGTTTGGTGACACAATCAATTCATCAAATTTATTAAACCCACCAATACCATCTGCTTGATTGCTGACCCAGAAATTTAAAGTTTTTGAATATTATATAAGAAAATAATAAATTAATTTAATTTTTTATCCTTAGTTTTTAGAGATAAATAAATCAAATAATTAAACTCAAAACTAATAATTAGTAATAAAAGTATTGTCTTACTTGGATGAGATTGTGAAAGCTTGATCTACAAGTCAATCATCTCTAATCTTTAGATCACTAATTAAAGAGTGATGTCGCCATGGTTAACCACACCCATTGAATATTAGCACTTGTCAGGAATGGAGAGCTTGACTTAAAAAATTATTAGAATTTTTGTAAAGTAATTTATCTTCCTTTTTTAAAAGAATAATTGGTTTAATCCTCCTTAAGGTAGGCAGACAGTACTGGTGAAGTCAATTTTGCATTTTGCGCCTTCGGATTTTCCACTTAATTTCTTCACTTTACCTGAAAGTGGAATTTAAGATTTCTTTATTTGCTTTTCCTTCTGGCTAAATCGCCTGACCATTTTTTTTTTTTTTTTTTAATAATGATTAGGGATGTTCGAATCAGTTTACGCATACCTCAACTGATCTTCCAAAACCCTAAAACTATTGATCGGATAAAAGTTCTAATAACCACCCTTATTAGCACCCGAAGGGAGATTTGAACTCAGACTCTCTTGAGTAATACACCCAAGAGTCTTTATCGAACTGAGTCCCTATTGAACTACTCATCCACCTAGGGTTTGATTAAATCACCCGACTTGGGATAATAATATGTGCTCTTCTCATCAACATTAGTAATATTGAAAGGTAAATGTCNAAGAAGAAGAAGAAGAAGAATCAATCATTGATTTTCACTGACTTTAGTTACCTCATCGGTCGTGTCCTTCTCATTGATACTGATCGTTGATTGATTTTCAGTGACTGTAGTTACCTCATCGGCCACGTCCTTCCCACTGATATTGATCATGGATTGATTTCCAGTGACTGTAGTTACCTCATCGGCAACGTCCTTCTCACTGATATTGATCATCGACTGTCCCTCCTCTATGTCGTGCGAAAATCTCTTGCAACGTAAAACCATTTTCACTGCATGAAGAAGCAAAAGGACAAAACAAATATCATCATATACAAGAAAAAGCAAGCGAGAGCGAGATCTTAGAGAGCTCTATATACATTATGCAATAAGATGCAGATAAAGACATTAATTAGTTTTTAGCTAGCTTCGTTGTAGTATATATATATAAATGTCGCAGCTGGGTGGTTTCCGCAATTTCGATCGCTTTTTATTATGCAAGTTTTCTGACTTTCGTTGTCAGAGACTTGCATGGAAGAGTCAAAAAACAAAATAAAAAAGACTCGACAACTTCTGGGAGAATGCTTAATGTGTGAAATTTGGGTCATTTTTTATTTTTTTTATGGAACGTGTAATTTCTTCAGAAGAAGCGTATATTGATTGTTTGGTGACACAATCAATTCATCAAATTTATTAAACCCACCAATACCATCTGCTTGATTGCTGACCCAGAAATTTAAAGTTTTTGAATATTATATAAGAAAATAATAAATTAATTTAATTTTTTATCCTTAGTTTTTAGAGATAAATAAATCAAATAATTAAACTCAAAACTAATAATTAGTAATAAAAGTATTGTCTTACTTGGATGAGATTGTGAAAGCTTGATCTACAAGTCAATCATCTCTAATCTTTAGATCACTAATTAAAGAGTGATGTCGCCATGGTTAACCACACCCATTGAATATTAGCACTTGTCAGGAATGGAGAGCTTGACTTAAAAAATTATTAGAATTTTTGTAAAGTAATTTATCTTCCTTTTTTAAAAGAATAATTGGTTTAATCCTCCTTAAGGTAGGCAGACAGTACTGGTGAAGTCAATTTTGCATTTTGCGCCTTCGGATTTTCCACTTAATTTCTTCACTTTACCTGAAAGTGGAATTTAAGATTTCTTTATTTGCTTTTCCTTCTGGCTAAATCGCCTGACCATTTTTTTTTTTTTTTTTAATAATGATTAGGGATGTTCGAATCAGTTTACGCATACCTCAACTGATCTTCCAAAACCCTAAAACTATTGATCGGATAAAAGTTCTAATAACCACCCTTATTAGCACCCGAAGGGAGATTTGAACTCAGACTCTCTTGAGTAATACACCCAAGAGTCTTTATCGAACTGAGTCCCTATTGAACTACTCATCCACCTAGGGTTTGATTAAATCACCCGACTTGGGATAATAATATGTGCTCTTCTCATCAACATTAGTAATATTGAAAGGTAAATGTCTATAATTTAATACAAGACTTATAACATTAATCAATAAACTCGTAATAATTTGGCTTATGACATAAAGCTTTAAACTTATACAATATTTCAAGTTAACATTTCAATATTAATGTAAATAAATCTCTAAAAAAAAAATAATAATAATCCTTGATTGCCTTGACAATCTAGTCAGAGTTGTAATGATAAAGAACATAAGTTAATGAATTTATTTTTTTATAACCATTAATGAAAAAAAATTACAAATCAAGTCATATATTATGAAAATAATCAAATGTTACTGTGTCTATCATACATGTAAAAATCAAAATAAAAGATTTTCTAAATCTAAAAAGAGTATGATGCAAAATCATGTGGACAGCTGAATGTGGGATAACTTCATCAGTATCCAAAATCCCTCATCCCAGAACCAGTATCAAAACCTCTAATTATGGTAGAAACTTACCAAATAGAAGTTCCGATACTGAATTTTGACAAGAACTTTTGGATGAAGATAAGATAATCCTCATTTAATGGTCTAGGTACTGAAACCTTCCTGTATTGCAGAACAAACCCTTATCAACCTAATGTTGTATCTCAACATATCCTCCTTTAACACATTTTAGAGTGACCTAGTCACTATCACTCAAAAGAAATTTCTAAAATCATTCCTATTCTCTATTTGCTTCTTCCCTCATTCACATGATAGAACATGAATGAGGATTCTCATCACTAAAAATTTGAAGAGGATCATTTGAGTATTTCACAGGGTGGCAAGGGGGGTCCTCGCGCCAATAACCATAGGCATTATCATACTGTGTATAGTACATTTCTGTATTTAACTTGATTTTTGAACTACCATACTCTTCTCTGTTGCCACCACCAGCACTATCAGATGCTTTGTTTTTAAGTTCAGCCTCCTCTTTTTTGCCACCTTCACCTCCATTTCTTTCACCACCAATAGCTTTAAATGTTTTGGATTTCATCTCTCTGTCATTGTCCACGTCTTCCCTATTTTTGATGCCACCATTTTTATCCTTGTCTGGCTCATTGATAGTAGCACTGCCTTTGTGTTTCTCATCAACACCAGCAATGCCATTGATTTTCTCATTGACTGTGCCAGTATCTTGGTATTTCTCACTGACAGCAGTGCCTTTGTCTTTCTTGTTGGTGACACCAGCATCTTTGTCATTCTTGTCAATGTTGCTGGCAAACTTCTCTTTCTTTTTGGTGGTGCCATTGCCTTTCTTGACAGGAACCATGACCTCGGTAGGAATCACTATCTCAACGTCCTTCTTGAGCTCAGTTTTGATGTAAGATCTGAGTTCTGTCAAGTCCGCCATGCCCTTTACTTTCACTAGATCCTTGACTACATCCATAGCCACAATGTCTAATCCTGTACATCAAAATTATTCTTAACTAATCTTGCAACTAATATCCCACTTGATACAATAATTTATTTAAACAATCTTTTGCAACATTAGAATAAGGTCGTCTTTGGTGTATCTCGTCTGCAATTTAAAATTCATATAGAATAAGTAATAAAGTTTCTTGTAGTTTCATATCTCACCCTTGATCTTCAAGTTCTTGCGAAGTTTCTGATTGCAAGAATTGCAGCACAGTTTGATCTTCAAAACAAATAACCTCTGAACCACAAATAAAAAAAAATATAATTAGTCTCGAAATCCTATCTAATTGAACAAGGTCTTGAAGTTAGCAAACTTAACCTAGCCTTGTTACTGTGACACACCATGATCATTAGGTGCAATTGTCCAAATACCTCACATTACTAGTCCAGTCGAATTTGGCCTTCATATCTATGGTACTCATAAGAAGCAAAAATTCCCCAAGAAAAGTAAACAAATAGGTGCTACGTGAGTTACTCTGCTAGCAGAGGCAGCAATGATAAAATTATACATTTTGCTGCATCGGCAAAGGTATAGTCTTTTTTCTGCTTAGCATAAGAGCTACAATATACTCTACACTTTCCAGAAAAGTAAATAAGACAATTAAGCGAACTCAAATTAATATGGAAGAATAACCGATAAAAGTAATCAAGAACAGGGAATACCAGATAATGGCTAACTTTACACATAAGTTTAGCAGGACGTAAGTTTTGTTACCTCTTCAGTTTTGTTGTTGGCTATATCATTCTTATGTACTGTCTTTATTCGCTTCTTCAATTTAGCTTCAGTACCCTTATTCTCATAACTATCACCTTCCATCTCAGCTGAAGGGAATTCAAGTTCTACTTTCTTCTTCGTTTCACGCTCAACCATCTCTTTAACTTTTAAGGGATCTACGTTTCCCATCACCTCTAGTCTGACAGAGTTACGATCACCCTTTACGCTTTTAACTCCTGCACCAGTCACACCATTTCTAAATTACTATAGGACTTCTAAAAGTATCTTAATGTGCACATTCAGCTAGTCAAGGGTAGGCATAAAACAGGACAAAGATAATCAAACACAGAATTCAAAAAGAAAAGAGATATCCAAGAGCTTATTTTACATCCATATACTATTAAATCCACAACTCATGTAGCATTCATACATGGGAATATCATCCTCAACTGTTATAAACAACACACCCTGTGGAAGAACTATTAAATTTCATCAATATATAGTATGGTCGTTGCAAATCTCAACATAGTAAATATTGGTAGACTAATGCCATAAGTCTAGATCAGCTGGGGTAAGACTTAGGCTCAATGAAAAAAGAAGTTTAGACTCAAGGAAACACAGAGAATGTGTGTTCATTACTGCTCTGGAACTTTAAGAAATAGAGCAGTTTTAGATAGCAGATCATTTTTATTCAAAAAGTCGAATCCCTTTAGGTAAGTGCCGCTTACCATTAATTTGTTTAACAAAATGCTCCAGTTCATTGACATAGCTATAGCTATTAACAATCAATATGAAATTGATTATTTGGTTGGCTCTCTTGTTGCCATTCGCCTTCTGGCCTTTACTTTTTTGGGCATCGTTCTGCAAAAATAAAAGAAACATAAATTATTTCTCCTTTTTCATAAAGTAACTATAAAAGGAGATAACACTGATTACTCCAAGAATTCTACAAAAAATTCAGACGTCAACTTGCCAGCAAGAAAAACTGATACTTTGTTTTCTCTATTATTAACTCAAATCTATTCACTTGTAGTTGCAAAGTGAAACAACAATCCAGATACAATATAATGAAAGTAGACAAAGGCAACCCAAATGGGTAATGTATTGGCAAGCAAGAGGCAAATTATAAGTAGATTGATAATTTCTGTAGTGGCCTCAATACACCTTTAAGTGGATTTGCATATGCTGACCCCATCATCCATATTCTTTAAAATGATAATATTTGAATACTTTTATCTTCATTGGCTAACAGAAATAGGAATTCCAACAAAACTAGAAATTTCTAAAAGTGGAAATCAGATGTGATTCAAACAAACAATAAACACAAAAAAAGACTAGCTGAAGTGTCCAGTAAGTGCTACTAAAAACAAGCAATCATAACTGAGAATTCAAAAATAAGCATGCTTTCTGTTATGAAAAACTATTTTTCCTAAACTTATATTTGAAAAAGAAATATGATTCACTTACCGGAGTTTATTTACAAAACCCACAGTTGACGTTAATCAGTTTCAGGAATTAAAATAAAGACCTATAATACCTGAAAACCTGTGGTTTTTTTATCTGGGTGCGCGTTGTTTGGATGATGAAAAAACAACCATGTAGTAGCAGATAAAAAAATAAAGAAGAAAGGGCAATAAATGATGGTTACCTGAGATGGGGTTTGGTTATTGACTGAGTTCAACGGCAAGTCAGCCACCTCTTGGGTGAGTCCGTTCAGGGCCGGCTCTTGCTGTTCTTGAGAGAATCCTTTGCAACGTAACACCATGATTACTGAAAAAAAAATTGAGAAAACATAAATCAATTGTAATTCCTCATGAGGTTTTAAAAGAAGCTGTGAATTTTAGTGTTAAAACCTGAAAAAGGCAAGTTCTTTTATTAGCAAATGTTGGTGGTGCTTGAAACAGAGTAGACTTTAAACAGAGACGACTTTTAAACAAAGAGAGTAGTGACTGGTGAGAGTCAGAAATTTCTGAGAAAGATGTATAGAGAGCTACTCCGCGTAAATTAAATGAAATTCCAACGCAGCGGCTACAAGCCTACACCGTCCAAGCAATCTTGCAATGCAAGTAATAACATTTTAAAAAATAATATCAAATATTAATTTCTGGGACTTTTGGTACGAGGTAATGGAAATATCATTTTATATTATTTGGTTATCATTTGGTTGTCAAGTAATATAAAATTTTGATAATTTTGTATTATCAATAGTTATTATTATTAGGACCTGTTTGGATCGGATTGAAATTTTTTAATGTGGATAATATTTGTTTAATTGAACAGATAACCGTGTTTGACATTTTTGTACAAAAACATTATGGAAAAATAAGATGATAAACAGTGTCAAAAAGGGGATAAATTGTTGGGAATAATATTTCCTGAGGAGGGGCTGTTATTAAAACATTACTCCGGTAATCATAATTTATGTCCAATCTTGCCCCTAAATAGTGGATTATGTGAACGAAAATATCCTTTGGATTATTAATAATTACAAAATAGCTAATTTGCACAAATAGACGTATTTGTCCTTAGTTTTTTTATTTTTCGGATGAAATTACCCTGCTTTTTATCATTTTTTTAAGAAATGCCACGAAGATTGGTGTATCCATATTATCCTCAGATATTTGCATATTGTGACCAATATGCCCTTGAACTTCATTAAAACTACAGTATAAAAGAAAAAATATTTCAAAATCGCACAAACAGGCACGATTTCCTTCTCTGCGCTAAAACTCGTTCACCACCGTTGGAGTCTTCTTCTTGTCGATCCCGTTCGCCAGTTCGTCAGTCTGATCGCTATTTCCGGTAAGTCCTTTGCCCTCTTTCCTTTGTATGTTGCGTGATTTGTTTGGATTGCAACCCTAAACCCTAACTTGTCCATTTTCCCTCTATCGTTGGTCCACCATCTCCGCCGCAGCAACGTCGAGTCTTCGTCGCCCTCTATTTGCTCCCGACAACATTCCAATCACAGTTATCGGTAAGTTCGTCACCTCCTTATGGTGTAGGAAGATTATTAAATTGAGAGGGTTGGTTTGTTTCACTTTAAAAGGGGTAATATTGTCATGGAATAACCGATTTGATGCTAAAATTACATGAAAATAGTTTGAAATGGCAGTAGGGTTTAGGGTTTAATGTCGTGATTTGTTGCGTTTGAGTTAGGGTTCCTTTGTTTTTTCTATTTAAGGTTTGGTTGTGTGTGTTCTTTTTTATGTGTGTTAGGGCTGAAATCGTGTTTATGAACTACATTTTTGGTTACTGTTATGGTTGCAACGTGATTTGTTTGGATTGCAATTTCAAACCCTAACTTCTCTATTTTGCCTCTGTCGTTGGTCCAACATCTATGCCGCAGCAACCTCTGCACTTCATAGCCATTTGTTTGCTCACAACAGCATTCCAATTGCGGTTTTTGGTTAGTTCCTCGCCTCTTTATGCTGTAAAAAGATTATTAAATTGAGAAGGTTGGTCTGTGTCACTTTACAGAGGGTAATATTATCGTGGAATAACCAATTTGATGTTGAAATGACATGAAAATAATTCGAAATGGCAATAGGTTCGTGGTTTAATGTCGTGCTTTGTTGCGTTGCATTTAGGGTTGCTTTGTTTTTGTATTTTATGTTTGGCTGGGTGTGTTCTGTTTTATGTGTGTTAAGGCTAAAATTGTGTGTATGGACTGCATTTTGGGTTACTGTTATGGTTGCAATGGTGGCTGGAATTTCATGTGTTTATGGTTGCATTTTTTGTTGATCTGTGCATGTAATGGCGGTTAAAATACTATGTATATATGGTCAATTGACTTGGCAAGGTAATTGAAATGCTGAAATTGATTTATTGTTGGAATTCTGTGTGCATTCGGTAAGTATTTGAATAACATTGTGGTTGGAGCTTTGGCAAGTCTAGGTTACTTGTGCTTTGGGTGATAGTGCCTTTCTTTGGATTGTTTTAGGAGACATCTACATAGATTTTTGGTTGCACGGTTGGGGTGGGTTTAGTATGGTGAGATGATGGTGTTAGTTGGTATAAATTTATGGGCATTCGGCATGTGAGTGTGGCCATGTTTCCAAACTGGAATAAGTTATTATTGTTATTATTAGAAATGATGTTTTTAGTCGACATAAATTTATGGGTATTTGGCATGTGCTCGTGGCTATGTTTTAAATTTTGAATAACTTATTATTCTTATTGGTTAAGCTTAGGGTTTTTGATGTTAACGTCGTAATCTGAAAATAGATTTTGGTGTCATCAACCTTTGTGAAACTAGAAAGATATCTTCCAACCTCTTCCGACTTCCCATAAAGTAACTAAGCTGAATATTGAAAGCCAAAAATCTTGAATATTATCAGCTAACAAATTAAGAAACTCAATGAAAACAAATATACAACCATACAGTATAAATGCTCCTTCAACTGATGATAACCATATAGTAAAGTCGGCCCCACATGCAGTACTTTTCACTTCAGACACAAGACAATGAATAGGAGATGCCTCAATTTCTACAAACAAATAAATCAGTATAAAGATTATAAATCCATTCACATTCTCCTTTGAAGTGCAACCCAATGATGTGATAACAAAAGGTAATGCACTCCTTAGTTAAAAATATGTTTGTGATGAAACATTGTACACAACAAACTTCACAAAACTGAACTCATCATTTCTTGCTGAACCTGAACCCAATTGCCCATGTTTATTCCAACCAAAGGCTAAGGAATGACCATCTTCAGTAACCACCATAGTATGGCTCCTCCCTGCTCCAGCCTTTGTGATTGTGTACCTTCAGTACAAACAATAATAAGGATCAGATGTTAGCCCTAGAATATTCAAACATTCGCTGACTTAAAAATTTTATTGATTAACAATTAATAGAAAATTGCCAATTTTGCGATACAACAAGATAAAAACAGAAAAATCATTATTGTTGACTGTATCTTGAATAAATCAAAGTTGTCTTTCCCGAAACCATAAAGCTAAGAGGAAGCTACTAGCTCAGATGTTACACTCCCATGCAAGAAAGATGTCAATTATTTCTTCATTCTATGATCAGTGGGGACACAAATTGTAATCATTAACCAAAAAGTTGACTTAAAGATAGGAACAACCTAGCCCATGCTTAACAAAGGCGTATAATTAAGGAGGTTTCTCAACTTTACTAGATTAAAGCTATACAAACAAAACTGACTAAGTTAAGAAAGCAGCAACTTACTTTGAAAGCTCAGAAACAATAGTAGGCCTATCACGCTGAATTTTATCCCCATGACCCGATTGACCCTTCTGTATAGATAAAGCTAAGTTTCATCAATAGATATGAACAACACTAAGTATTGAAACATATACATAAGAAAACAATACAAAGGTGAGTTTAATAATGCCGTGCCTCGTTTCATTCCCACGTGTAGCAATGCCCTTCAACATCTAACGCCACACAATGACACAATACTACAACACCATTTACACAAAAATAAAATTAAAACTCAATTCACAATAAAAACTATCAGCAATAAGTAAACAAACTATCTAATAGATAATGGCATAAATAAAATGGACCTTCCAACCTCTTCCAACTTCCCATCAACCTTTGTGAAACAAATGAAAGAGTATCAGGTTGAAATGTACATACTATTGAGCATGCAAATCAGATTGAAATATTTATTGTCCACAACACAAAAATTAACAATAATCAATAAATTTAGTCCTAAAACGAAACTTGTAGTACAATAACCTTAAGAAAGCACAATAATATAACACCAATTGAATTGCTAAAGAAGACAGTTTTGAGGGATTGATGTGAAATTTTTGTGATGTTTATGTTAGTTTGTGTGATGGATGAAAATTTTTTATGTGTGGGATGTTGAGAATTGTATGAGTGTTTGAGGAGAATTTTGTTTGGTGGTAAGATTATTAAATTGTGATGTTTATGTTGTTTAGGGTTTGATTTCTTTCATATACAATTGCTTGTTATGGGTTTAAGGACTTGTACATGCTTGATTGACTTTACTATGCTTTGATCCATGAATTATGTGAAACATCTATGGCTTGTTTAATAGTAAGGCAGAAGATGCACTTGGTTGCCCTTTTAGTCTTCCATTTGGACATGTTGGAAACCATGTACACCATGCTCGTCCTTCTTGGATTGGCTAATGCACTTAATATATGGGGTAGACGTAGGGCTGCTATATCATATGCCAGTGAGTCTGCGTCTAGGTTTAAGGTTAGGCCGTTCAATTTACAGACCATGCTTTTCCAAAGTGATGAGTTATGTTTTGAGAGCTGTAGGATGAATAGGGCTCTATTTCACAAATTATGTAATTTACTCACTATACATGGCAACTTAAAATCAACCCGTCATTCATCCGTAGAAGAATTAGTTGGGACCTTTCTTTACATCCTTGCCCATAACCAAAAGACTAGAGTAATGAAATGTCAAATGCGTAGATCCACTGAGACGGTAAGCCACAATTTTCACTTAGTCCTGAACGTTGTGTTAAGGTTGCATACCCTGCTGTTTAAAAAACCAGAGGCCATTCCTGAGAACTCAACCGATGACCGGTGGAAATGGTTCAAGGTATAGTCTAATCATTAAGTTTAGGATACACATGTAGTTCAATGGCTTATTAAAATCAGACTTAGTGTTTTCTCTAAAATATTTTTGTTGTTATGTGTTAGAACTGTTTGGGAGCCTTAGATGGAACATACATAAAGGTTCACGTGCCAGCTGACGATATACCTAAGTACCGGTCAAGGAAAAGTGAAATCGCAACTAATGTCCTTAGTGTATGCACACCTGACATGCAGTTTATATATGTCCTCCTTGGGTGGGAAGTTTCCGCTACAAATGGTAGAGTTCTTAGGGATG